GATGACTGTTTGTGTTGTTGTAGGTTGGTTGCTTGGCTGCTGTTTATGCTATTTATAATTTTGTTTCTTGTTTCTGTTTTTAAGTGTTAGCTGCCCAATCATGTACTTGAGATGGACGGCCATATAAATTAGTAAATAAAGAAATATAGATGGAAGAAGCAAATATGACAGTGGTTCAATGAAATATTAAAAATTAATAGACTGCTCTAGGACAAATGTATGAACATTCCTGATAATTTTCAGGATTAAAGGCATACATGTACACTAATTTTTTTTAACTTCCTTATTACAACTAAAAAATGAAAAAGTGAAGCAAACTTAATGGTATTAGAAATTCTTCTGGAAGACATTTGAACAAACTACAGACATGGTAACATTATGAAATCTTTCCAAAAGGCACTGAGAATCAATAATATAGTAAAAGTGAAGATGAGGAACTCTTTTGCTTCTAGACTCAGAATAACGCTATGCTAACAAGACAATGCAAAACTGAAAACATACTTGTTGGCAAATGAGCTTCTTTTTATGCTTCTTACATTATTTTTGTGTAATAGAGCTGTTTTGTTCCTATTGTTATGCTTTACATACCATAAAGTTTGATTTCATGCTAACAATACAGATTGTTTTTCTGAATTGCCCCATACTAGTTTTCAAGCATTTTCTAAAAGTCCTTCAAATGACTTTTTGTTTTTTCTTCCTTATGAATATTTTCTTGTTCAAAAGAATTGTTCTTTATTCCCGCTTCTTTCAAGATGATTAAAAAAGCCCCATTACTGCAATGTTCTTGCATCTGGATGAAACAGTGTTTCCCAAAACCTTTGAAAGAGACTCAGAAGAGTTTTTTTTTTTTTTAAATAAAGAATGAATAGTTTGGAGACATTTTTATGGCCACGTGTGAGAAAGCCACATTTGGGAAGTGCCTAACTTTCCCTGCATCAGGACCATTTTGTATAGACCTAAGATGTTGGAGTCTGTAGTATATAAGATTCTTAAGTTATTTTTCTGTTCTGGTTTTCATTTACACCCGAATAAAAAAACCACAACATAGTTATTAGATTTTATCACAACTGTTTTTCAAGGGCTACAGCAGCAACATTCTTAGAACTTGGCCAATCACCAACTGAAAAGGATATTTATTTAGAGAATACTATGCCAGTAAAATAACATTAACCTCACCGAATTTCAACTTCAAGGGTATTATAAATCAGACCTGCTGAACCTAAGATCTGCAGCGTTTTTGCTGGGGCCCTATTCAATCTCTTTGTGACCCCACAAGAACACTATTTGTTCATGGTCCTTCCCTACTTCTTTACAGAAATATCTGAGGCTTACCCAGCCAATCAAATGTACGATGTGAATGGGAGAAGGCTCAGATTGCTATGTTTGAATGGATCATCTTCTTCCTAAACTGAGACATGTGCAGTGCAGTTGGTACCAGTTTTCCAGCCTGCTTCACATTCTAGTTATCACTCCAGACTTAAGCTAAAGAATACATTAAACATATAGATGAGTTACAGAAATAGAAATTGAAAAGAAACAGAACAGTAGTGGGGAAAGAGAGAAAGGAAAACAGATGGAGGCTCAGAGAGATATATGGGGGGGGGGGGGGAGGGAGAGAAAGGGGGGGGGGGGGGGGAGGGAGA